ATTGTGCTAAACTTTGGATTAATAATTCACAGAATATCTTTCGGTATATCTTTTCCCGTATGCGATGGTACCACCCCAAGAAATGACTTTTTGCAAGATATCAGCTGTTGGTAAGTATCAGATAAAGGTAGAAAATTTATGGTAGAGGTTGGATGAGGTAGAATCCAATGCAAATCCAATCCATAAACAGAAAGAATCCTAGCTGGTTCAGTTCAGATTCAGTTTCCATGAAAAAACCATGAGTGACCAAATATTTTATAGGAAAGATCTCAAGACTTAAAAACCCATGGTTCTCGGGGCTTCAAGGCTTAACTCCCCACCCCCAAGTTCCAACAAATACAAAGAAATGTTTTAAGTTCTTTTTTTTTTTTTACTGCCTTTTCCATGGCAAAAGAAAAGGATGAAGCAGCACTTTTCAGCCTATTTTCTTTAGCTTTCTCAAGTAAAAAAAAAAAATGAATGAACAGTTGTAAACCAGTTGTGACAACACTTTAAAAGGTGAGTATCCCCTAACAAGCCACTTTTAACAGAGGTTTAAACAGGAGACTTAGTTTATAGATCTAGTAAAATAAAATTAAATAATTATCCATGCATTGATATATATATATATATATTGTAAAATACCCATGAAAATTTAGATTAATAAGTAAGACTAACGAGTAATCTTACTAATAATTTTAGCTTTATTAGTATATTCAAATGATTATGGAACAAGAATAAGATCAAGTACTAGTAGTCGATATGACAGTTATTTATTTATATTTTTGACAATATAAATATTTATTAATATGCTACGTGTTAAATTTTTACATTTATCACAAATTTTCTTATTTTTTCTATCATTTTACTATATTTATCCCTATATTTTTATCTGTCCATATATCTTTCGGTATCTTTGCTGATATCTAATTTCTTGTATAGGAAGTTCTTCAAAAAGATTAGATGATGAACAAAATTATAAATAAGAAATCAAGAGTTGCAGATTTGAAATCCCTATTCTCTTGCCAACAAGATCATTTCAGAATGATATTCGGAGGATTTTACGATTGATTACTTTATATATTTTATATACTTATCAACATATCCAAAATTAACTCTCCAATCTCTTAATTCATCTCAGTTAAAACGTCGGTGGCAATAATTATTAAAATATTCCATAATTTGACTGTCTATTTGTCCGATCGCGTACGATCAATAAATATTTTTTTTTATACGTTAAGGTATGGCTGAGTCTGGGGAGACAAAGGATGCAAGAGTTTGTCTTGAAGAAGCCTTGGAAAAGATCAAACAATGGCGGTGGTCCCAAATTTTCCAAATAAAAATTCATTGAAATTGTTCTTTAATTATGCATGGGCATAGAAAAATTAATACTAGTTTGTATATATTTCCTTTGATTGAAAAAAGGACAGAAGACGGGTAAGAACAAGAATTCCTAAACGTGATTGTGTCTGATCATAACAAAGTCTCGTGACCCTCCATTAATAATTAATGCCATTTTCTGCCTCTAAGTTTGTCCACATATATATATATATATATATATATTCAATTGATATCCAAAAAATGATAATTTCTTTTGTCTTTAGATCCATATATTTCGATTTTTACGTCATATATATTTCCTCTGTTTTTTTTTCTATGTTTTATGAAAATTAAAAAAAGATAAAAAATAAATAATATGTTTCATATATATTCAAAATCCTTGCACACGGCGTCCGTTCTAGACAAATTCATTAGTACTAATCAGATGGAATAATCCAAGATTTGATTCATTATTATTTATTTAAAGTGATCCAATTATGTGCCAAGATTATATTACGCTTATAAAGCGTTATTCCCGCAGGTGTATGTTTGTAAATTTTAATATATGTAACGTCAGCGAGAATCAAGCATACAATGCAAAGCATAGGATATTAGCTTAATTGAAATTAACTAAGATCCTTGAACGTGGCGACAAATATCTTCTTTGGATTATGCTCTGTTAATCCTGCATTTAATGAGGGAAACTGTCTTTTGAAGCGATTATACGTACAAATAAAAATTATATTAACATAAACTAATAAAGTTTATAGCCAGACACGAATTATAGGGAATAGTGTGTAACAAAATGAATATTTAAATTCTATTATATTTTAAATATAGAAACAAATTAATTAAATTATTTGATCATACGTATAACATAACGGTTTTTTTATTTCTGGGTTTTTCAAGTGAACAATTTCACGTATAACATAACCGTTATATAACGGTTTGTGAAGTTTAAAACGTCTTGAACGTACAGCAAATCTTCGTGAACATAAACATAGACCTAACGGTTCTGATCAGTAGCTTGTTGTAAGGGCTATGTATGCCAATGGATTCGCAAGAGGTTGAGGTATGATCTGATCTTTTTTGTAATCAAAACGCAAATCACGCTGTGTGGCCCGCGCCTTGAGGATTGGGTTACGACTGACTGTTGAATGCCAGATCTTCTTTACAGGACCAATGCTATCAGTTTGGAATCATCTCCAGACCAGACCACAGTTATGGGTCTTGTAATATTCACCAGTTCAGACTGATCAGGATCCAGCCACATCGCCGGACTGCATCGGGTGTCCATGCAGTTAGGACAGGTGTTGTTCATGACTTGATAAGTCAGTTATCAAAGTATATAAAAACAAAAAAATATAAATATAAAATTCATATTATGTGATAAGTTTTGCATAATATTAAAGTGATGGTATAAAAAAAATCTTATATGAATTAAGTTTAAAATATTCTGAATATATAAATATAACACAGATCAATCTAGGTTAAATGTTCATACATGTATATATAATTCCTAATAATTAGTAAGCAAGATTAATGTGAAGAAATTGAAGAAAACAATTGCTATATATAGCAAGTTGAAGTTGTCAGTGCGTGGTTTTGTCAGTTTGTGGAAAGGCAAACAGAGTGTATGTGTACGTGCTAGCTCTAAGTTCAATTAATTCTTCTATACAACTCGATCAAATATAGCTTTCTGCATACGATCTCTCCACTCCACAGACGGCTAGGAGGTATCTTTCTTGTTCTATGCAATGGAAATTGAATGGATGTCGGTGATCCAAGCCGTTTGCCTTGGTTTCCTTTCAAATCTCTTTTAGACACTATCATGTATGCCTTTGCCTCTCTTTCTCAGCAATGATCATGCCATATCGCCTCCTCCTTCCTGTCGTTGTGAAGTGGCAAAATCAACGTCATATCTTAAGGTAAACTCATGCGTATTTTGGCATTCATGCTGGTTGTTGGATGGTGGACAATGGCAGGGAATGGACCATAATTCAGACCAGAATCAGCCCAAGATTACGTTTGGGGGGGGGGGGGGCGTGCTGGGGTAAGATAAAAACCGTTAGCCTCAACTGTGGGCACATTTCAACAGCACCACCGCAGCTAGAAGGGCTAAACTGGGCGACCTGACAAGGGAATTGGCCCGTTTAGCATTGTCAGGATTCATCAGAACAGGGCACCTCGATCTTCATCTCCATCAAAATGATCCTCCTGGCTGACCGAAAGGGCATGGGTGAAAGCAACAGCGGGCCACGAATTGGTTCGATTGCAACCCTCAGCATTTACTTTTTCCCAACAGAAATGAAACTTTGACATTGGGTTTTTGGTCCCATTCGGATCAATCACTCTTGTATGTGCTCATCTGGTCCCATAGTTTGAAAAGTAATGACAATCCCTCCCTCCCAATCTCCATTAACAGAAGAAAAACATAGAGTAATGGGTTCATTGGGCTTGCCTATTACTCGCAAGTAGTTGAATATGAAGCCTGAAGTTCATCCCTTGAGCCTGCCGATAATGGTATTTTGTCTATGAATTTGATAGCAATACTTAGGGTGGATTTAACTTCTAATTGTAGGATTGGACAAAATATCAAAGGATCTTTGATGAATTTCACTTTATTCGCATGACTCGATGAAACATCACAATAAGGTAAGTCCCAACAAAGCACTATTTATGCTTTGATGGACACTATGCCTTTTTTTTTTTTCGGTAACATAGAGTGGCCCCGAAGAAAAGGTTAGTTGTTCTTTTCCTATTAAATGGAAATAATTAAGGAGGGTTCCAATCAATTTTTAAGTTTGCAATATACACATTTATATATAGTCAATTATGCTCGTGATATGATTTATTGACGTAATCGATAAGATTTAATCAACTTTAATAAAATTAGTTTTACTTAAATAATTTGATTAAAAGTGACAAATACGCAAACACAAATAAAAGATTGTCGTGATTCTTTTTGTTTTATAAACATTATAGTATATGTTATTTTCGATCTTTTTCTTTTTATCTTGTTTTGTAAAAGACAAAATACAACAAAAGCATCTAACTTGTTCAATTTCTTGAATTTGAAGTTGTGTAGTTAATATTAATGAAAATAAGATATCGTACTATTTTAAAATTCATAATTGTTGTCAATTGAATTTAAATGAATTATTGATGAACTCAATTTTTTTACATTATTATTTTTTATTCAAGTGCTCTAACTAAATAAAATCATGTAAATTTACTTTTAATATTGCTTGCTATCCTTAATTGCTTAAAATTACAAATATGGTGAGTATTAATCAATTCCAATCATATAAATTAATAAATATATAGAAATCAATAGCATATAATTCTTTTGATATGATAATTCCATTTTGATTTTAATAAATTATTTGATTCAATTTATTTAGTTATTTAATTTGAATTTCGATATCTAAATTAGCAACTGAATCGCTGGAAAAATCGATTATTAATGATATATTACTAAAAAATACTATCCATTATTATTAATGTTATAACATTTTAATTAATTTAAATTTTGTAATTTTAAGATCCGTTGGATCAAATCGATCGAATGCTTGAGTCAGCGAAAAGGGCCCGTCCAACCATCACCGCCCACTTCACAAAATCACATCACACCTATTAAGATGTCGCCACACTACTGTCGTCATCTACCGATTAACAACACGTCACTTCGACCGTCGTACATAATATCTTCGAACCCCTTTCAATTCCTACACCTGTGTCCCGGGAAATATTCATCACCCCCACTTAAATCCCGCCACGTCATCAAAATGCAACTCCCGGCTTGTCACGTTAACGTCCTCTCTGCTCTTATATATAAATCATATCACCACTGCCACCCGAATGTTTCCCTACTGTTTGTTTTTCTTTGACAAAACTGAAAATTCGAGAAGAGGACGACGGTGACAGGTGTCAGACGGGGAAGGAGATGGAGGGGGAGAAGCGAAAGTCGGAGTTCAACGATGCCGTTTTGAAAGAGTCTCAGAAGAGGGCGAGATGGGATGACAACGGAGAGGAGGAGACGACGACGGTGACGGACGAGGAGGTGGAGGAATTCTTCGCGATCCTCAAGCGTATGCACGTGGCGGTAAATTATTTCAAGAAGGTTAACGGCGACGTGCGGAGCTTGACGGAGCTGGGAAAGGCGGAGTCGCTGAATTTGGGGCGGAACGCTGAAGTTGACGGTGGTAAAAAGGAGGAGAATGTGGGCTTGGACTTGAATGAGGAACCGGGTACAGGTACAGACCCGTTTTAATTAGTCATTTCCTTATGATAATGGTTGTTATGCACGGATCTACGATGCAGGGTGGATCTTATCTCGGTCCTTCTAATTTTTAATGCTATTTAATTATAAATTTATGCAGAAATTATTGTATAGCCTTTTTTGCTATTTTTTACCTTGCTTTTAAACTCATTTAGTACATATTGATTGCCCTTCCAACTGCTTCATTGTTTCATTTTAAATATTTGTTTTTCATACTCTAAATATTTATTCATTTTTAACTTTTAAAAAGACTGAAAATAAAAAAAAGTTGTGTCTGATTTATTTTTATATTAAAAACTTTATACTATAAAAAAATAAAAGAATTAAATGTTTTTAATTAGAGAAAAAAATATTTAGAGATAATTCTTTAAAAATGAATAAAGAATAAGACAGCGAATTTTTTTTATCAAAAAATAAATTTCTTTATTAAGGAGTCATTGAGCTATATGATTTTTACAAACAATGAAATAAAGCTAAATAACAGTAGTAGTTGCACCCCTAACTACTAACTGTGGCTTATACTTGTGGGTATATAAAAGGAAAATAAAATAAAACTATTACATTAATGGAGTAAAGTCTACTAGGCAGTCTCTATACGAAATATAATTCCCTCAATAAAAGAACGAGGAAATGCACGTGACATCCTATTCGAGTAAGGTCGTATTAATTCTATTCAAGTCGTTAGACCACTCCATGCTTGCCACCTCGGATACCAGTTTAAGATCCTGATTACGATTTTTTATCAAAAGACATATCAACATATTCCAATTGTCGTTTTTGCCAGGTTCTCGACGAGAAAGATGCTTGGCTTACCTCATTTGTAACCCTAATTTTGTTTTTTAATTGAAAGTGAAATATTTTTTGAGAAAAAGAAATTCCTTAATTTCAAAAGTCTGATTTTAAATTAAAAAAAAGTCCTACATAAAATTAAGGATGTGATTTTGAATTTGTGGTAAGGTCTCTCAAAATTTTTTCTCGAGTATTTTTAAAAATAACGAATTGATAAAATAAAATTGATCGAAATTATTATTATTTAGTACGTTGACAAAAATAAATTAATAAAACTGACAAAATAATAAAAATAAAATTGATGTGTGGTTTATATCAATTCAATACTTTTAAATACGCAATTTAATTTTATCGAGAAAACCGAGATAGAAGTACCGAAAGAATTTTACCTAAGTTTTATTCTAAAGCTAATAGTGTTAAACTTGTGCACTGCCCGACCATTACAGTCATTCGTCCCGATTATTATAATTGAAAAAGAAAGAAAGATGTTATTTTTCAAACAAATAATTAAATTTATGTAGTATTGAATGACAATGGCCTCAACTAGATGACCTTGTTCAATGGCATTAGTTGACCGACTTAATTTCAATAACATAAGAATCCTGACGCTATCTTATGGAACATTATTTGTGGTGTATATATATTTCTTTCACATACCATTAGTAAAGTATACAAGAAAAGTAATATATATATATATATATATATATATAGAATTACATGTCAAATATTTTTTTTGGGTATTAAATTAAGAATATCTTTCCAAAAATTGGCGTATGCTGCTTAAAATGACCTTCTTTGTGCTCACTACACAGTTCTGTAATTACATGTCAAATATTAAGCGACAATTATATTTTGCTTATATGAAATCTTTTTTTTTATTGCATTAGAATCATATTTCTTCACGAAGTAAGACGGTGTGTGAGGTATATTTATTGGTAGCATAAACTGGGTGTAAGTGTTTGTTTTGATTATTGTATTCGGTTTAAAATTCTTGCATTTTGTTCTATCTTTATAATCGATAAATATTTTGTATTATATCGAGATATTAATATAATATTGTTTATTTGTTATTAAAAAATTTCTTCTTTGTTTGAGAAAAAAATAATAAAAATGTTTTAAAAAAAAAATAAAGGGAAGAATTAGTGGCACCTTGACCAAAAGAAAAGGCAAGAATTTTGTGGTTCGTCTATTCAAAAACCAATTTAATATTAGAAGAATGGGATTCCCACAGAGGCTGCTCCACGTTTCTGATGTCATCCGTCGTCGTTTCGATGACGCAGACTCATTACAACACCCCATCCGTCACCTCCCAAAAGGAAAATAGCTCTATAAATATAATGCAGAAGCTGGATTACTTAATTCTCATCATCGTCCATCATACGTCGCTGGTCTTTTTTTTTTCATGGAATCGGAGAAGAGGAAGCGGGGGGATGACGGCGAGGAGGAGGGAAAGAGAGCCAATGGAGGGGAGGCGAACGTGACGGAGGAGGAAGAGGAGGAGATGGAGGAATTCTTCGCAATTCTGAAAAGGATACACGTGGCGGTTAAGTATTTCGAGAAGGCTAACCGCGGGGGACGTACGTTGAGGGGTGAAGGTGATTGGAGGCCGAGTTTTCTGTTGGAGGATTTCGGGGGCGATCACGACGTTAAGAATGAAAGAAAGCGGGAGGATTCGGCAGAGGATTCGGGTTTGGATCTTAATTTGGAGCCTGCTTCCTAAGCTTCTGAATTAACCTACCACTGATCGGACTGTCCTTTTTATCTTCTTTGCTTTTAAAGAAGAAAAATTTGTAATTGTAATCTTTGAAACCATAACATGCAAAATAATTATTTTTAACCCTTTTTTTCATTTTTCCTTTGCTTTTTAAGAAGAGCATTTTAATTGGAATGGGTTTGATGCAATTAATTATTAATGGATAACAATGTTAATAAAATTATTAAAAGTAAATCATTATTGATTAGAAAATAGCATTATTAACAATTAACGAAATTTCTTTGGTTTAAAAAAATCGATCGAATACTTTAACATTTTGATTCAATAATTAAACT